TTTTATACACAAATAATAGACTCACTGAGAAAGAAATTAGGGAAACAATTCCTTTTACAATAGCATCCCCAAAAATGAAATATTCTAGGAATCAGTCTAACAAAGGAAGCAAAAAACCTCTACACTGAAAACTACAGCACTCTGAAAAAGGAGGTCGGGGAGGATATAAGAAAATGGAAAGACATCCCTTGTTCCTGGGTAGGAAGAACCAATATAGTGAAAATGGCCATACTTCCAGAACTACTATATAGATTCAATGCAATGCCAATTGAAAATCCAACAATATACTTCATAGAACTAGAGAAAACAATGCAAAAATACATTTGGAACAAGAAGAGACCTAGAATAGCAAAAGCAATTCAAGGCAACAGAGACATGATTGGGGTTATTACAATCCCCAACTTGAAACTATAGTACAAAGCTAATGTGATAAAAACAGCATGATACTGGCAAAGAAACAGACCTGAGGATCAGTGGAATAGATTAGAAGATGCAGAAACAACTACAGACATGCTCAGCCACCTCATCTTTGACAAAGGATTCAACCACCCTCATTGAAGGAAAGATGGCCTATTTAATAAATGGTGTTGGAAAAACTGGATTTCAGCCTGCCAAAAATTAAAACTAGACCATACCTATCACCATGCACTAAACTAATACCAAAGTGGATTAAAGATCTAAATATTAAGAAAGAAACACTAAATTATCTGGAAGATAAGTTAGGTAGAACTCTTGAAGACATTGGCATGGGAAAAGACTTTATGAACAAAATCTCAGTAGCACAGGAACTAGCACAAAGAATCAACAAAACTGGGATCTCATCTTATTAAAAAGCTTCTTCACTGCAAGAGAAACTACCAACAGAGCTAAGAGACAGCCTACAATGTGGGAAAAAATTTTTAGCAGCTGTACCTTAGACGGACTACTATCTAGAATATATAAAGAACTGAAAAAAATCAGACCCCCCCCCCAAATTCAAAGACCTAATTAAAAAATGGGCAACTGAAATGAACAGACATTTCTCAGACAAAGAAGTAAAAGCAGCAAATAAATATATGAAAAAATGTTCAACATCACTGGTCATTTGAGAGATGTAGATGAAAACAACACTGGGATTTCACCTCACCCCACAAAGAATGGCTGCTATCAAGAAATCATCCAATAACAAATGCTGGTGGAGATGTGGGGAGAAAGGAACCCTTGCCCATTGTTGGTGGGAGTTCAGACTGGTGCAACCACTGTGGAAATCAGTATGGAGATACCTCAAAGAACTAGGACTGGAAGTCCCATTTGACCCCGCTATTGCCTTCTGGGTATCCTCCCCAAAGAATTAAAAGAATCATACCACAGCGATATATGTGCACCCATGTTTATAGCGGCACAGTTTGTAATAGCTAAAGCTTGGAAGCAGCCCAAGTGCCCATCAACTGGAGACTGGATAAAGAAGGGATTTTTTTTTCATAAAATGGGGTACTACTCAGTCATAAAGAATGAGAAACTAGAGACATTTATAGCTAAATGGATGCGTATTGAGGCCATACTCTTAAGTGAAATAAATAAGACACACATGTGTAAATACCGAATAGTTTCTCTAGTGTGTGAGACTGAAAGTGTGATTAAGGATTAAAATGAGTAATTGATAATTTGAAATAGGAAGAAAAGGTTCAAAGAGATAGGAGTGGCAGGAGGGGAAGGGGAGAGATCAGAGTTACTGGCTGAAATCTGGAAAGAATCCATATACAGATTGTGTTTAAAACTATAGGAAGAGATGTAGATAGAGACTACGCTGGAGCTCATCAGTGGGTCAGGAAGGGAAGAATCATTGAGATCAAAGGAGAGAAGGGTGTGTTTCCAGAAGAAGCACATACGACTATCTACAGTACACAGTACTCAACAGTGTGATAAATGACTGTTACTGTTTTATGTACTTATCATAACATGCTGTGCTTTTCATCCTTCAGAGCATAATCCTACTTATATAAAAGAGTTTACTGTAAAACAGTGTGCTGCTATGCCAATGGTAGACTCATGTATCTCATGTTTAACTGCATATTTGGATAATATCAAGGGGCCATCACAAGTGATTGATGTATACCTTCTCGGTTTGCACTTATAAGTTGTCACTCTGTGTGGTACTTTGAGATACACAAGGATGAAATTGCCTAATAACATATTTCTCAGATTATATTTCCATCACGTGTCATATGACAGTACTGAAATTTAAATTTAAAAAATTTGGCCTATGTGGAGTCTACTAGCTAATTAGAACTTCTTTTCCAGACCACTATTTGTTCAGTATTAGTTTTGAAAATCTTTCTAAAAAAAAATCATATCCTCTGATGTCTTGTTAATGCTTGAGATGTTTTTTTAAATTATATGGAATAGTGTTTAAGTACTTTTCAGTTTTCCTTTGGTTGAGTTCTACTATATTTGAATATTATTGTAGTTTTTTCCCTTGTATTGTTTTTCTTTGAATAATTTAATTTTTCATATGTGTATGTTTATTGAATGATAATAAAGTTATACATTTTAATTTAAAAAAACTTTGAAGGAATCGAATAGTAGTCAAATATTTTGGACCGATTGTTTAGGTCAGCGGTAGAACATGTGTTTAGCGTGCACAAGGTGCTGAATTTAATTTCCAGCACCAAAAAGTCAATAACATCTTACATTTTCACATATACCACCTTCTGATAGAACACCAAATAAATGAAGGCCTTACCAGAATTGTGCTTTGGCCTTATCCTGTGAACAAATAAAGAGAAAACTTCTGAGAATTAGGCCTTTGAATCTGACTTTTCTGCTTATTTTAGGATTAAATCATCATTCCATGCAATCATTAAATATTATTAAAATCTCTTTTATACCAGACATCATATCCCAGTCACTGAGAAAACATACTCCTTTTAGGAAACTTAGTTTTAAGTTAAAATAGAAAAGAAAACCACTATAACCCAATATTCCAAGAGCTGTGTTAGTGTTAAGTATTAAGACCATGAGCTTTGACAGGAGACCAGGGAAGCCTTTCTGGAGAGGTGAGAGCATACCTGAACAACAGCTGAATGAAGAGCACTGGAATAATGCAGAAATACAGTCCTAAGAAACTGCAAAGTCCAGAGAGTGACAAAGTATGATACGGGTATAAATGGGAAAGAAGTGAGGTATGGGGGGAAGAGCACTAGTCTTTCTTTTTGTCTTTTTCCTTTGAGTCCCTTCATCTCATGTTTTCTTCCCTGAATCCAAGAATTTTGTCCTTGATATTAAGAAATTCCTGAGCAGTACTTGTCATTCCTGAGCAGCGCTTGCCTTCTTAGGGTCACAACAAAGTCTCTGCACCCTCTGTCACCAATGCAGAGATGTTGGCTGGCTGGGTTCAGTATCCTGTCCACAGATAGCTACAAAGCAAGCAGTCAACAATGTCCCATTGGATGAAATTTTCAGATAAGTACTTGGGATAATGGCCCTAGTTTCATCTTATCTGACAACATAAATCTTTAAATCTTTGAAAAAGTGACCTACAGTTAGTCTATACAAATGAATTCTAAAAATACACTTTATTACTTTATTTTCATGACTAGGTAAGGAGTAAAAGTAAAGTATGATTTTAAAGATAAAAAATATGAGGTTTTGTGTTCTAGCCAGAAATATATAATAAGGATCAGATTTACCTGAAAGGCCTCCACCCAAAATTACAAAAATACTGGAGAAAATAATGAAACAATGATTTCAAGAAATCTAAAACGTCAAGCAGTAAGTGACAGAGTCCCCGAGAGACAGGAAACAAGTGAGAAAAGCCCTGCTACTGCTCAGAGCTGCTTCCTTCAGAGAGATTTCCAAGCTGGGGGAGAAACAGAAACCAGGAAGAACCCAGGGGCTGAGGTGAGGAAATGGAAATTAGAGGAGGGGAGAAAAAGGTGGCTGGGATTTGAAAAGCAGAGTAGGGAAGAAGGGAATTGCACAAAAAGAGAACTCTAGTGATGTGCCAAGGGGGCCCATCAGGGTTCACCACAACACTATCTATCGATCAGCCCATGCAAGTGAGGAAATAAGCAGAAGCCAGAGCCAGAACCACCAGAGAAAACAAGTAGGAAGAATATGCAGAGCTCACATGGGACTGAGAATAAGAGGGACAGGATCCCGAGAGGGCTTTCTGCATAGGTGAGAGTGGTACCCTCCACCCTACCCCTCTCCCCAGTCAGACCAGAAGTTCTCATGATTCTGGGGGTATTGGAACTCAGAAGGGTAAAATTAACTCTAGATTAGTGTGGTTTCACCTAATGAAGCTTAAAATAACAGTGGTCAAAAACAAAGCACAAGATCAACAGGGATAAAAGATCTACTCAGCAACCCAAAAGATAAAGTTCACATCTTGTCAAAAAACAACAACAAAAAGCTAGAAAACACAATCATAGGGAAGAGAAAAATCTAAAGTGACTCAAAACTGAAGTTAGAATAAACAGACAAGAATATGAACTCAGTTACTATAAATGTGTTCTTTTCTTCAAAAAGCTAGAAGAATAGAGACATTAAAGATATTTAAAAGATTCATATTTAATTTCTAGAGATGAATACAAACATCAGAGATGTAAAATATTCTGGATGGGATTTTAAACAATTATGAAGGTGGAGAAAAACTGTCAATATACTTGAAATAGGGATAGAGAGCACCTAAAATGCAACATGGAGAAAAAACAAAAAAAAATATGATAAGAGCATGAGTTACGAAACACCTTCACGTGGTCTGACGTACCTGTAATTCGAGTTCCCAAAGAAAAGGAAAGAGAGCAAATTGTGGAGAAAAATATTTAAAAGTTAATGACAAAATTTTTCCAAATTTGATAAAAATTGTAATGCACAGCTAAAATAAAACAATAAACCCAGTAAAAACAAGAAGACAACTACATCACAGCACATCTTAATCAAATTGATAATGACAAAGAAACTAAAACTCAGAGAATTCACCAGTCTTCCTCTTCATTACATAACAAGTTTGTGGTGGATCTATTTACAGGAGGAAGAATTTATTCATATCTTAAAGAAACACAGACAGATTGGGAAAGAATGCACTGAGAGTGGCAGAGGGAAAAATAACTAGATAGATAGGCTTGAAGGCAGAGATGTCACTGTGAATCCTTTATGAAATCCTGTAATGGTTTACACACTATCCAATGTCAGTGAGACCATGGTCTGAGTCAGTGAGCACTGCTAAACACACACAGTCCATGAAGCAGTACCATGGGCCACAAGGAATATTCATTTCACTGTCTTGTTCTTCTGTTGGCCTTCTTCCTGTCAGGCCTCAATTTGCTAATTTTTGGGATTACTGACTTGTTCCACGTGGTATTTTGAATCCATTTGTGATCACTGGATTTTTTTCTTGTTCTGGAAAAAACAGAAAAGTTCTGAGAGTGGAGTATATGTCACTTCCAAAGCTCATAAAGTAGCTTATCAATTATCATTTCATTGACTCATTTTTGTTTGCAGGTACTCCTTAAGATGTTGCAGGTACTCCTTAAGATGTT